TCAGTCCGATCACAGCTGCACTTTAACTCCACACCACTCAAGCAAAGCCCACTGCACTGCTGGGGATAAGTGCGCACTCCGCTGTGCACTCCAGCTCTGCCGTTTGGAGCGCGTCCGCCCTGAGAGTTCATCTCCAGGACAGGACGAGTTGGTTCTGTTTGTTTGGTGTCTCTTTGAAAATGATGACACTGTGATGTTTGAAGAGCACATAAAAGACTAAGACAGAGCTCTGACTCCGCAGCGCTGAGGACAACGTTCTCCTCTTCAGCTGCTATTGTGTGATTTTGGTGATGCTCCAGAGAGGAACACCCAAAATGTTTACTTTTCCGTCCTTCTCGTCACTGTTTTTTGTTTTCCAGCTGTGCAGGAAATGACACCACTAGAACCAACGAGAAACAACAGAGCTCTGCGAATAATTACCATTACTCTCTCTCTCTCTCTCTGGTCTTTCTCTGGCTCGCTCACTCTTTTGCTCGATGCCTTTTCTCCACTGATTGTCTCATCTTTCATCTCTTTCTGTCTCTTTTTTCCAAGTCCACCTTTCATTTAGTTTCCAGTTAAAACAACCATTAAGTATTTAGTTTTTAATAAGGAGACATTTATGAGAAAATTAGATGGCCTAGCAACACCTTAACAACCAGCTGGGATAGCATAGCAATGGCCTAGCAGCACCTTAGCAACAAGCTGGGATAGCATTTCAATGGCATAGCAACCAGTTAGCAACCAGCTGAGATAGCATAGCAGTTGCCTAGCTACACCTTAGCAACAAGCCTGGGAAAGCATAGCAATGGCCCAGCAAAACCTTAACAACCAGCTGGGAAAGCATAGCAATGGCCTAGCAGCACCTTAGCAACAAGCTGGGATAGCATTTCTATGGCATAGCAACACCTTAGCAACCAGGTGAGATTGCATTGCCTTAACCTTAGTGACAAGCTGGGAGACCATAGCAATGGCCTAGAAACACTTTAGCAACCAGCTGGGATAGCTTAGCAATGGCCTAGCAACACCTTAGCAACCAGGTGAGATACCATAACAATGGCCTAGTAAAACCTTAACAACCACCTGGGATACCATAGCAATGGCCTAGCAACACCTTAGCAACCAGATGGGATAGCATAGCAATAGCCTAGCAATACCTTAAAAACCACTTGGGATACCACAGCAATGGCCCAGTAACACCTTAGCAACCAGCTAGGATACCATAGCAATGGCCTAGCAACACCTTAACAACCAGCTGGGATAGCATAGCAATGGCCTAGCAATACCTTAGCAACCAGATGAGATAAAGCAAGCTGGATTTTGGCTCAGTAATCAGATTTCTCAGCGCATGTGAAACTCTTACTCTGATTTCTTTCGGATTTCTCAGTCTGCACAGGCACGAAAACAGACCGTGGCACCGGTCTGCGAGCAGCGTTGCTGCGAGACGGCAAAAAACACTTTCAGAGCGACACTGAAACCAAATACATGTTTGACGAAATGAAGCATTTAAATTTTCTTCATCTTCTAGATGATGTATGCTCCTATTTTCAGATAAAGCGGCGCGATGATTTAAAAAAAAGCTGCAGCATGAAGCAGAAATCCGATTACTGCTTGACTCATGTAGACCTGGAGTTTCAACATTATCTGATTATTCAAGTGCATGTAAACGCGCTGATTGGTTTACTGACAAAATCTAATTCTCTGCAGTTATCGGATTATTAAGTGAATGTAAATACAGTCTGTTTCTGGTCCAAATGTTTTATTTCCCACTGGATTTCGAACTGTACAAACTCCACCCCGATCCAGCCGTGTACACACCCTCTGTCACTGGGGTGGGACCCTCAAGGGTACATCCTGGTACCTTTAGTCAGGGAACATAATTGTATCATAATCCACTGAAATGATATGTTCTAAGCTGTACTGACTCCACACACCCCGTCTCGTCTCCAGGCTTTTATTTTACTGTTCTGTTTTAATACATTCGGTTATGAAAAAGGTACAAATACGAAACTTTTCACCTGGAAAAACTTATTTAAGGTTCACAATCAGACCTTAAAACCACTGTTGTACCTCTGAGGGTACATTTTGTTTGTACCTTGATGATGAATGAAAATGTACAGTGCAACAGCCTAGCAACAGCTTAGCTATCACTTAACCACCACCAAGCAATGTCTAACAACAAGCTGGAGTACCATAAAAACCATTAAAGCAACTGCCTGGAATTACAATATAAACCCAAAAGTCTGATAAAAGTTCTCAAAAACAATCGTCAGTGTGCGGCAGCTTAACTTCTGAAGCGTTACTTGCCGCCTTCGTCAAGCCAACACAGTTCATTCATGAACTTTCCTCATCTAGTTGTTAGCTGCAGTCCAACAATCTATCTATAACTGTATACCCCCCTCCCCCCGCTCTCCTCCAGCTGTCATGCTGAAAGCTGGGTGTTTCCTGGACTGTGATGGGGTCCCGACAAAAGAAACCGATCCAGGGCGCTGTAATGAAATGAAACGTGCAGTCAGAGGCTCTGGCCTGGGTCAGCTTTCTGACATAACGCTGCAAAAATCCTGCAGTCCCTCGCCCGTCCCAGCCCAACCGAGTCGAGCCGCACCCCCGAAATGAGAAAATGAGATCCAGACTCCAGACCAGAGGCCTGGAGGTGACGACGAAGCCCTCTCTCAGAGCTTCGCCACTCGGGAGGCTGGCTCAGGAGAGCGTCCACTGGGTCGCCACCGATGCTGGCTTTTTTGCATTTGGATGGCGCCTCGTAAAGAAGTTCGAATGGCGAAAAGTTATAAACACAAGAGGTCAACTCAGGCAAGTAGATCGAGCAATGTGATTGGTTCAGATAATAAACATACCAGCTACCAGTTACGACCCAACCGCAAACAACTGGTGGTCAGGATTTGGTGATGTGAAAAATTACAACTTTTTCCAAAAAAGAGGTACGAAACTGTGACTGGGGCAGTCCCTCTCTTGTCACTGGGGTGGGACCCTCGAGGGTACCTCTCAGCACCTTTAGTCAGGGAACATAACTGAACCATAATCCATTGAGATTATATTTTCTAAATTGTACTGTATTGTCGCTGCGCCTTTAAGACTGACATAGGCAAATGAGCTCTGTTCTGATTGGGCTGCACTCATTCAGACAGCAGTCTAGGCTAAAACACAGCTAAACTGCTGTAGGCTGAACAGGTGGCTGCTGGTTTTTGTGACATCACGAAAGCGATGAATTTAAAACAGGCTGGTTTTGTAGTTTAGTGGAGAAGACTCAGCGAGGACTTTAACAGTGTTTACAGTGTTTTCTTACTCTAAACCCATCAAACGGAGGACAGTCAGTGTTTTTCAGGATGCGGCCCTTTAAAGTCAGCCCTCCTGCGGAGAGGCAGAGGAAGACGCCGTGAACGATAGAATAGAGATTTAATCTTTGATAATCCAGACTGAACTTAATCCAGCTGCCTCAATGAGAACACCCCCCCGCCCCATACCACAACCAATCAGGATGAGACACAAAGAGACAGTCAGGGTCGAAGGTCAAGCACAGAGAGGGGCTGGGTGTGTGTTTGCATGTGTTCAATGCTCGTGTGAGAAGGAAAAAGAGGAAGCTTCATCAGCGTCATCAGCTAACAGTGTCTTACAGGAGGAGACACAGCGGGAGAGTAAACGGTCCAGTCTCTCTCTGTTTTTCTCTCTTCTCTGTCTCTCTTTCGCTCTCTGTTTCTCCTCTTTCCTTTTCTTCTCTCTGTCTCTCTCTTTTTCTCTGTCTCTCTCTCTTTCTCTCTCTCTCTCCTCTCTTTTTCTTCTCTCTGTCTCTCTCTTTTTCTCTGTCTCTCTCTCTTTCTCTCTCTCTCTCCTCTCTTTTTCTTCTCTCAGTCTCTCTCTCTTGGAAACGTTCTCTGTTTCTCTTTTTCTGTTTCTCATTTTTTTCTTCCTGTTTCTCATTTTCTCTGTCTGTTTCTCTTTTTCTGTTTCTCATTTTTTCTGTTTCTCATTTTCTCTGTTTCTCTCTCCTCTCTCCTTTTCTTCTCTCCGTTGATCACTTTTACTCTCTCTGTTCCTCTCCCCTCTCTCCTTTTCTTCTCTCTGACCCTTTTACTCTCTCTGTCTCTTTCTCTCTTTCCTTCTCTGTTCTTTGTTTCACATTTTCTCTGTCGGTTTCTCTTGTTCTGTTTCTCTTTTTCCCCCTGTTTCTCTTTCTGTTTCTCTTTTCTTTCTCTGTTAGTCATTTTCTCTCTGTTTCTCTTTTTCTGTTTCTCTCTATGTTTCTTTTTTCTCTCTCCATTTCTTTCTGTTTCTCTTTCTCTCTGTTTCTTATTTCTCTTTCTCTGTTTCTTTTTTCTCACTCGATTTCTCTTTCTGTTTCTCATTTCTCTTTCTCTTTTTCTGTTTTTCTCTCTGTTCCTCTTTCTTCTCTCCTCTCCTTTCTCTCTTCTCTCTCTCCCTCTCTTTCTCTTTGTCTCTCTCTCTCCTCATGTGAACCAGATTTTTCTGTGTGCTAAACAGCTTTCATCACACTCTGTTAGCACCACACCTGCTAAAACACTAAACACACACTGCCAGCAGCTCTGATCTGATTCAGACTCTCTCTCTCCCTCCCTCCATCAATCTGTCACTCTATCACACTTCTACACTCACTCTACACTACACCTTCCACTGTTTCCTGTTCTCCGTTTTCCAGCAGGTCTGCAGCCCCTCCAAAACCCACCGAGGTACAAGAGAGGGGAGGACAAGGAGAGTGATGAGGAGGATGCAGATGACCGAGGGTGAGGTTGTGGAGGATCAGGTTGATGGTACTGAGAATAATGATGATGATGAAGATGAAGCAGTTGATGATGAGTTGGATGATGGTGGTGATAAAGATGAGCATGATGAGGATGATCAGGATAAGGGGTGTGAGGATGAGGACAATGAGGTTGATGAGGTTCAGTTTAAGAAGTGCTGCTGAAGCAGACAGTAAAGATAAATGATTATGATTATGCTGATGAGGGTCAAGATGAAGCTGAGGATGATGGTTTGTGATGAGGATGATGAGGAGTGGGGTTAATGAGGTTGATCAACATGAGGTGGACAAGCATGATGAGGAAGCTGGTGATGAGAATGATGAGGGGATTTATGAGGTTGATCAGGATGAGGTTCATGAGGGTGAGGTTGATGATGAGAACCATGAGGAGGATGTTAATGAGGTTGATCAGGATGAGGTTGATAAGGATGAAGTTGGTGATGAGAATGATGAGGGGGTTAATGAAGTTGATCAGGATGAGGTTGATGAGGATCAGGAAGTTGATGGTGATGGGAATGATGAGGAGGGTGTTAGTGAGGTTGATGAGGATGAGGTTGATGGTGATGAAAACGATGAGGAGAGGGTTAATGAGGTTGATCAGGATGAGGTTGATGAGGAACTTGGTGATGAGAATAATAATGACGGGATTAATGAGGTTGATGAAGTTGATGGTGATGAGAATGATGAGGAGAGGATTAATGAGGTTGATTAGGGTAATGAAGATGATGAAGTTGGTGATGAAAATGAGGAGGGGGTTAATGAGGTTGATTTGGATGAGGTTGATGATGAAGTTGATGGTGAAGAGAATGACGAGAAGGGGGTTAGTGAGGTTGATCAGGATGAGGTTGATGGTGATAAGAATGATGAGGAGGGGGTTAGTGAGGTTGATCAGGATGAGGTTGATGGTGATAAGAATGATGAGGAGGGGGTTAGTGAGGTTGATCAGGATGAGGTTGATGGTGATAAGAATGATGAGAAGGGGGTTAGTGAGGTTGATCAGGATGAGGTTGATGGTGATAAGAATGATGAGGAGGGGGTTAGTGAGGTTGATCAGGATGAGGTTGATGATGAGGAAACTGATGGCGATGAGAACGATGAGGAGGGGGTTAATGAGGTTGATCAGGATGATGCGAATGAGAATAATATTAACATGAGGGTGAGGATGATGAGGTTGATGGTGAGAATAATGAGCATGATGAAGCTTAGGATGAGGTTGATCAAGAGAAGGGTAATGAGGATGAAGACAGAGGTTGATCAGCACGAGGGTGACGAGGTTGATGAGGTTGATGGTGATGAGAATAAGGATGAACCTAACTGTGGTTTGGCTGATAAAATCAGACGATATTACATTTTCACAAACTTTCCTGTCATATCTGAGCAGAAATATATCAGCTGTTATCGGTTTGCAGAATCTTTACCTTTTTTTTTAAATTGGTACCGTTGACCATATTCATTTCAGTTGGGCGTTACTACTAAATCTACAGGGCTACTCTGGTCTAAATCTAATTCAGACAACATGGTGAACGCCACAAGGTCTCTCAGTTACCCTTAAGAAAACAACATTAGGCTGAACGGGAACGACACACTAGCTCTGTTGGCATTTTTGTCGAACCAGTTGAGGGATTTATCATTCACTCAGATTACTCCTCAGCCTTTCACGTAAACATTAACTCCCTTGTGGATTTCAACAGCTGGCCTGTGAGCCCTGTCTTTAATCTCCGCCAACTGGTTGGTATGGATTTTGAGCATTACAAAGCAGCAGACAATATTTCAAGTGTCCAAACAGATGAACGAGTGTTCAGTTCGCAGAATGGTGCGGAGATTAAGGCGTTAAGGGAGATGAAGGCGAAGTGGAAATGCCCTTCAGATACACAGACTCTTCTGCTTCTCAATCGAAAGGAAATACGTGTTTCGCATTAGTGGGCGTCTCACGGCTTTTACGTTTTAACGTCCAACTTCTGATCTGAGTGAACGTGACAGGAGAGAGAGCGAGAGAGAGAGAGAGAGAGAGGGCAGGAAATGTAAGGTTATGAAGCCACACATGCGCTATGTGAACCAACCCCATAAGGTCAATATTAGCGGAGGAAAAGAGGCAACAGCCTGAGCGAAAAGAGAAAAAAGAGAGAAGGACGGATGGAGGGAGGGAAGCGGAGTGTGTGTGCGAGAGATGAAGTCATGTCAGAGTTCCTGAGCTGAGCAGTGGGCCTCCGTCACTGGCTGCTCTATTGGGAGGGAAATGGAATATCCATTGTTATCCAGGAACTCTCAAAAAACACGCACAGCAATATCCTCCTTTAGAGTCTAGCAGCCCACCAACTCCTGTTTCTCTCTTTTTCATCCCTTTTTCTCCACTGCTTTCCACCCCTTTTCAGTGCATTCACATTCGGAGGCAAGTTGGTCTGAAGTGGGTGTGAGAAAATGTAAAAAATAACTCTTATATTGCTCGTTCTACCGAAATATCCCATTTCAGACGTGGATTTTAGACTAAAATGATTTTGCTTCGAGTGACCCTGCACCTTAAATATGTTTATTTTATTAAAATACATGACTGAACATTCCATTTGGCACTATCCATACAACTACAACGCCTCAGAAACTATACCAAATGTTTCAGTACTGACTGTTTCGGTGGTGACAATTTTATCTCATTTTGGGCCGAACTCAAAAACGCTAGCCAGGACATGACCAGCAAACAGCTTTGAACAGCTGTACACACATAAAACCATATAGCTTTAATAAAAACACAAATAACATAAAATGTGTGTTTCGGTAGTGACAATTCTTAATTTTCCACACTGATTTGAACATTTCGTGACATATTTACTTCAAAACAATGTGATCTAACTGCTCACCATGTGGCCATGAGGGACAGGGATGCAGTCTCACTTCCTGCTCTAAAATGCAGGGGTGTGCATTATTCATGGTAAGTCTATGGGTGTGTCTCAAAACCTAGTGAGCTCTACATAGACAGCATTTTACGTCACAATATGCGCTCCCGACAAGAAGGCCATCCCAATTCTTAGATATCTCAAACATGCTGCCTACTGAGGTCTCTCATTTTGGCCCAATATCGAGAGAGCATCGGATGTTTCCTCAGCCGCTGAGGCAATCCCGCGATGCAGCGCGGCGCAACTTTTGTTTGAAGATGGCGGGCAGAAGCGCTTCACCAAGCAGCGACGTCATCTTCAAATGTAAGTTATTCTGATTTTCTGGGGTATTTATCTGTTTTCTAGTCATAAAGGTGCACAAATAGCCTATACTTTCCGCGTTTGACCACAACTATTGTCTATTTTGCTGTTTCATTCAGAGCAAATACAATTAAAATCACTATATAAACCACCAGAGCAGATCCATTTTGGCTAAATGTGATTCTGACGGCTGAGGTCAGTAAACACCGGTCTCGTGCAGTGGGCAGGAACAAGTGGCAACGTCATTGCTGTCTAACTAGAGCGTCTCATTTATCTATCTTATAAGGATAGATGACGGTTGGAACGCTGCCTACTTAGACAGCTGCCTATGTAGACAGCGTCTACTTAGAGAGCTCACTAGGTTTTGAGACACACCCTATGTCTTTCAAATTCACTTTAAAAAAAAAGAAAAAATTAAGTATTTAATATTTTTATTAAGTGTAAACGTAGGGGTCAATGTTTGGAACAAGATGGGGGCCTCGGACCCCCGTGTCTCAGATTGGTCCAAGGAATTCACTTGAAAATGTTAATTTGACTTGTCTCTTGTCACCCTGACACTGTTTCGTAAAGAAATCATGGCTACAAACCCTGTACTCCCATAGGAAATGCCTAGTCGTCTGTCGCTCTGTTGCCTGCTAATGTAAACAGACAGTCAGACCTTTAGGACTCAACGACCTGAAGTGTTAAGTTTACAACATGCTCATCCTACAATGTTAAAAGAGCAACTTTGTGAAAATCAAATTTGCAAAGTTTTCCCGAAATGTAGCTGATTAGCCAAGACATGTTTGGTGTCTGAAATTTGCTTCTTTAGTTTTGTCCTGGAGCTACGAGCCTAATGCTGCTAACACAGTTTAGTCCTCCAAACTGTGATGAGACACAATTCTGCTACTGTTTTTATCTGTGCTATGTACTTTTGTTAGCTTAAAAATTACTAAGTAGCTACAGCCGTATGCAAAAGTTTGAACATGGTGTCTCTCACTTACTAGACAACATGCTGAAGGCCACACTCACCCCAAACTGCGTTGAGTCTTATGCAAAAGTTGTTTAAGTTACATGTTTTGGTGATATTCTAATTGAAAATACAACACATATAAACCCGATATGTTTAAAAGTAATGATGTATTAAAGTGTGCATAAGTGTAGAAGACATGTAAACACATTTTCACATAGAAAACCACCTAAACAGGTCATTTGACCAGGGGAGCCCAAACCGGACATTAGCCTTGTATCTCTGGTGCAAAACTCAGGTAATAAGCCAAACATGTCCCGGGCTGATCGATTACGCTTGAGCTGCAAATCTGATTAGAGTTTTATTCCTTTAAAACACAGTTAGATGAAAGTGCGGTTCAGGCCGACAGTGCACTGTGCGAGAGCCTGGTGTGTGGAAGGAAGAGGTCTGGAGAGGTGTGGCTGATTAAAACTCAGTTTGGACAAAGGGCAGAGTCCCCCAAAGGAGTTTAAACCAAAACCAGATGCATGCACACACACATATACACACACTCTTCCTCAAGGATTAAATCACTGTTCAGCAAGATCAGACTCCAGTACACAACCACACGGCTGCCAAAAGACACAAATGGTTTCAGCATGTTACTAACATTAGCTGGTGCAGAGTAGAACTGGGCGATATGACGACAGGGCTGGGAGGTACACTGGTATAAAACAGAATTCTTGTCTCATAATACAGAATTTTCCATAACATGGATATGCTAAACATGCGCAAATAAAGCTGCACTATGTAAGATTCGTGGTTAAAATTGAAACCAGTATTGTTACTGAGTCAGGAGAAAAGAAACAGGCTAAACTAAGGTGTGTGTGCACTTCTGCGAGTCGCCTTGTAAAGCCTGAAATACTAATTTAAAAGTCAGAGGCATCATACACTTTTACGTACTGACGTCACACGCACAGGCTCAAAAAGAGGGTCCAGGTCAATGTTTAGGCCTCAAATGCTGAAATCAACTTTTTACTGACAAAGATGACACACTGCAAAAAATAGTATCTTGTCAAGTGAAATGATCTAAATTCTAGTCGATATATCTAATATTTCTTATTTTGAGATGGTTGTGCACTTATTTCAAGATTGTTTAGCTTATTTCTAGACAATTTTTTACCTGTTTTAAGTAATTTTATTAAGTAAAATAAATTTATCTCAATATACTGGCAGATAATTTAGCTTGTTTAGCTTGTTGTTTGGAAATAAGTTAAATAATCTTGCAATAAGCCTACAGCAATCTCAACAGTAGAAGTATTGGATATACTGACGAGATTTAAGATCATTTTCCTTGACAAGATACTATTTTTTGCAGTGCAATGGTAGTTAATTGACTCACACCTTTGCAGACACGTCCTTCATCAAGTTCTGACTGAGTTCTCTTTGAATTCTCTGTCAACACACTTGTGATCATCAGATTCATCCACTCAGGGAAGGGGACCGAAGCACAACCTACGCTACAAAATGTTCTGCACCATACGTGCAATGACACATTTCAGCCAGAGAGGTCTCCAAATCCCCAAACGAAACAAACATAGTGCAGCTTTAAATACATCTTATAAACCCAACAAAAGTGCATTTCAGACGTGTTGCATTTACCGTGGTTCACAGATGTTAGTGCAGCTCAGCAGCTTTTTTAACATTTAAATAATGGAAAACTCACACAAAGCCCACCAGCTTCGGAATGGCCCTTCAGTTAGTGTTTGGGACTCAGACACAGCCTCAGCCTACAACCCTACTTGTTTAGTCAAGCCGTCGCTATTTAGTTTTTTCTTCTTAGATAAGGGTGAAAATCTAGGCGGTTCACTGAGAGTATTATAGTAAACTGAGAATGGCGGTGCTGTCCTCCCACTACTCTCACTCACTCACTCAGGTTTGTTGACAGTGGAGTCCTCATGTGTTGCTAACTTCTGGTTCTCCCTTTTGGTTAGGCTGTAATAGCTAGGCCTGCTGGACTCACTGCTTCCACTCTGTTAACACTATGACCCTGTTTACACCTGGTCACTTCACGCATCTTCAGTATCAGGATTATATCTGGCACCTGTAAAGGCACCCAACACAGATACAAATCCGAACGCTCAAACAACTTCAGGAGGTGGACTGAGACACATTTCAGCAACATGTTATAGCAGCGTATACGGATCCATCTCCCCAAGACACTTTCGACCACTAAACCCCACCAGTACAACCCAAACTCCTTCCCCTGCAGTACCTCACTGGGCACGTGATCTGTGCCTGCGAGGGCGATAATCATGGCGGATGCACATGGTTGGGGACTGGACAAAACAAATTGCTTAATAGCAATCTGGACAGATGAATTTTGAGGCAGCAACCATCTTCAGCATAGCAAGAGGCCTAAAGAACAAACAACTGGTAATTGCTTGCTGTGTAACATGCAGATTTGCATATTCGGTCCCACACTGCAATCGGATTTTAGTCCGACAAACCAGAGATGTGTTTGACCACCTAGTGCAAATGTATGTGGCTATAATCTT